TAGGAATGTCAATAACATCAAACTTGACTCAATAACCACAGAGAGTATTAAACCTTTTCAGGAATTCTTAACAGAAGCTTAACAGAGCTACAGCAAAAAAAGGCTTCTAGTTCTGTAATATTCTTTGGTCGTCTTGCATGCACAGCTCTTTTAAGATCTACCCACAAATTTTCAATGATGTTTAAATCAGGGGACTGTGATGGCCATTCCAAAACCTTCAGCCTGCGTCTCTTGAGGTATTCCATAGTGGATTTCGAGGTATGTTTAGGATCATTGTCCTGTTGTAGAAGCCATCCTCTTTTCAGCTTCAGCTTTTTTACAGATGGTGTGATGTTTGCTTCCAGAATTTGCTGGTATTTAGTGGAATCCATTCTTCCCTCCACCCGTGCAATGTTTCCTGTGCCACTGGCTGCAACACAACCCCAGAGCATGATAGATCCACCCCCATGCTTAATAGTTGGCAAGGTGTTCTTTTCATGAAATGCTGCTCCTTTTTTTCTCCAAACATGCCTTTGCTGATTGTGTCCAAAGAGTTCTATTTTAACTTCATCAGTCCACAGCACTTGTTTCCAAAACGCATCGGGCTTCTGTAGATGTCCTGTTGCATACTTCAGACGTTGGATTTTATGATGGGGACGCAGATAAGGTTTTCTTCTGCTGACTCTTCCATGAAGGCCTTGTCTGTGCAAGCATCGCTGCACAGTGGAACGGTGCACCACCACTCCTGAGTCTGCTAAATCTTCCTGCAGGTTTTTTGCAGTCAAATGGGGGTTTTGATTTGTCTTTCTGACCAGCATACGAGCAGTTCTGTCCGAGAGTTTTCTTGGTCTTCCAGATCTCATCTTGACCTCCACAGTTCCCCTGATCTGCCATCTCTTAATTACATTTCTTACTGTGGAAACTGCAAGCTGACAACGCTTTGCTATCTTCTTGTAGCCTTCTCCTGCATTGTGGGCATCAATAACTTTCATTTTCAGGGTCTTACACAGCTGCTTAGAGGAACCCATGGTTGCTGGGTGTCCACAAGTGTGTGCACAAGGTTTGAAGAGTCAAAGTATTTGTACAGCTTTGAAATTGGCATTTACCAATGACAGCTGTTGCTGTGCATCAGATCTAACGAGCTGATTAAGGTCTGATACCTTGTGAGAGACTTTGAGACTCTGGAACTCTTAGGGTGCCCAAACTTTTGCACCATGCCATAATCATGTTTTTATTTTTTATTTTTGTTCAATTTATGGCATAAGAAGTAACTATGCATCACTGTTTGCAGAAAATATTGTGCATTTTTTCCATTTCCAAGAGAAACTGTGTTAACATCTGTTCAAATAAAAAATCACCAAAATCTGTTATTTATCAAGGGGTGCCTAAACTTTTGCATAAGACTGTATAGTGATATTCAGCCATCCAGGCTGAATGTAAACATCATTTTTATCAAACTCATAGTAGATTCCCCAAGTATTGCATTAAATATTCAGCTCTGGGCAAATTCGTCAAAAGAAATATGATGCTTAAATAACTTCCAGTATTATTATCATCAGTAAACACTTTTATTTCTCTGTATTATCTTTTGTGCATAGATATTCCTTGGAATGATATAGAAATATTGTTTCATCATAGGAACAAAAGTTACAGTATTAACTAAGTAAGAATCAACTGTATTGTCTATCAAAGATATTTTTTCACTCCAGTATTTTTATGTCATAAGAAACACTAGTGCAGGCTCAAGCGTCTTTCTCCACTGTGGATCTCAGGATTTCAAGTCACACAGAAAGACAGTGGAGTAAAAAGAGGCACAAGGAAAAAATAGATTTTTGCAGTGCTGTTGCTGGTGTTAATGCTTTTTGGGACGTGCAAGGTCGTACTTGAGGAGCAGGCCAAGGGACGCGAAGCCAAACAGAAAGGTCTGGAAAAACCACAGGCAGCAAATGGTCATGTCGGTGATGCCTTTGTTGCTGCAGGGACACAGACAAGACACAAAGACTAAAAGTCTAGTTACTGTAGCAGCCATTTCACTGGGTCCAAATTCTTAGTGTTTGCTCCTGTCCATAACCCTTAATTACTTAAAGAACCTCAAATCCTATGGACAAATAGGCCACTAAATGATGAATTAAAATAATTATTACTTAAATAACATGTGAGGAATGCTGGTCATGAATGTGTTCCTGATGCGTTTCTAGTGTAACTGGGGCTTTTTTTTGGAAAGTTTTGGTTTATATTTACTTTACTTATGACAAAAAAAGACTGAAATTAGACAAATACCATTCCAAAATAACCTATTTTTGATGTCCCAAGATAATTTCATCCCCTGATGACAAGCTGAAGCATGAAGTTGTTAGAAATTAATAAATTAGTCAGATAATGATTAGACTTTAATGTGTTAGACTTCAATGTGTTAGTAATGTAGTTTAGTAAGATTCAAAGTCTGCTCTAGTCTGCTCTGTTTCAAGGTTAGCAGTAAGCCATGACACCAATTGTTTTCTTGTTTTAATCTTGTGTAAGAATTATGTCTGAATGGATGTTTTAGTTACACATCACGCATACAACATACACACACATTGAGCTACCGCAAGAAAGCATGAGCAAAGATAGTGCCTGGGGGTCTCAGCAACTGAAGACAAGTTGTGTGGAAAGCAAATGCGCTGCTCTGTATGGGCCAAGCAGGCAGAGGGTTGCATCAGAAGTAGAACGTGCTGGGTGGTGCTGTCTCCATCCTCTGAGGCTAGTCCTAGTTTTGTGGAGATGTTTATTATTGATAGAGGTGGATGATAGCCTTGGGATGAATTGCATAATCTAGAGCCGCCTCTAATGGATACAGGAAATGGATCAGGCTATCAGTCTGGTCTCAGTGGATGAAGGATGTGTCTGTGTTTGTATGTGTCTGTGTTGCTGTATGCATGCAAACATACATGTGTGTGTGTGTGTGTGTGTGTGTGTGTGTGTGTGTGTGTGTGTGTGTGTGTATGTATGTATGTATGTATGTATGTATATTTGTAAATAAACCAGCACTAAAATCAAGAAAGACAGACTCCTTCCTTACTCAGATCTGTCCAGTAAAAGAACTGGGGTATAACAAAGTAAAAACAGGCAGCTTTTGGCTGTTTGTTTAAACCCGCATAAGAAAAGTGTGTGGGATGAACATTTTGATGAGGCCCAAGAAGAAGTCGAGGGGAACAGTTTAGTAAAAATGGGACAACATCACCACCTAGTAGGCAATAAAACTCTTGTCATTCTTACCTGCACACCTTCAATGCAATAAAGGCCTCAAAGGCATGAACAGCCCAGGCTGCCCACCACCTGTAACACACAAACACGTTCAACTCCACAGATTGTCTATTCAATTCAAGAATACTTTGCAAATGATCCTTAAGATAAATTAGTCTTGAGCTCTAAATTAGTGTAGTCTGGAAACATGTTAAACATCACACCATGTTTTTGCTTTTGCTCATACAAGGATGAGCAAACCCAGTTACGTACATCACTGAGTGCTGAATTCATAGGAGTTGTATGAGAACATTAAAAAAAGATCAATCACATCACAAGGTGGGCCAAAGGCTGAATGATGCCTTGGACGTTAGCCTTCTTCTCGTCACATGACTTAAACAACAACATAACAAAACATCTATTGATGCATGCTCTGATGGTGCTACAGTAGTCATGTGACTTACACAACTAATTAGCATCCTGTGGAAGACATGCAAACAATCTGTAAATAGGGAAAACATTAAGGCCATAGTTAATTAAAGAGTGTATTTCAGCACTGTGAGGGTACTTTGCACATCATTTGATTGTTTTTAAAGCTGCTCTGCCCTGTAAAAGACCAGATTTATATCTCCTTACAGAGGAATTAAACATAGCTAGAAAGAGCCACAGTGGTGCAACAAAGTCTAATCACCTACCCTTTGTACATAATCTCAGCATGGTTATCCACCAGGTATCTGCAGAAGCTGCCAAATGCTCCAAGATGATCAAATGGGATTTTTTCTGGCACAAACACAGTGCACTGTGACACACAGATAGAGTAGTTCAACATTAACCAAAACAAACTACACATGTGCTTTACATTTTCAGAGAGATATGTTAAAAAGAGTTTGTGTTCTTGCAAGCATATTAGAACCTAATGAATATTGTGATGCATGACCTTTTCATGGGATCTTTAGCCTAAAAAATGAGTCTACTAAGAACTTAAGTGATTTCAAAACTGTTACAATATACTGTACCATTTAAGTAAAAAGACTTTTGTGTTGATGATAACTTAAAATAATCAGTTGACCAAAAAAAAGCATGACCTGTGAAAGCCGACTGTTACCCTCAGTGTTCTGGTCCAATTAGAAGTTAACAGCGGAAGGTCCAGGGGTGGTTAATATCACCTGTCATCTGTCTGCTCTTCTGCACCATGTTGGGCTTTTTGGTGTATTGGAATTTAAGATTGTCATTTGAAATCAAAGGAGTTGACCTGTTTTAAGGCTCTGAATCTGACTCCATCTGTTCTATGATACTGACAGAATCAGGATGAGTTTTTCTCCACCTTTACAAAAACTGTGATCTGCTTTAGTTGACCTGGTAATTTTCTAATAGTATAAAACATTTATATTAATGTTAACATAATCAAAATGAAATCTAGATTTTGTCCCATCATATGTATCATTCTCTGTATTATACCAAAGTAACATTAACATCTGATGTTTGCCACAGTCTCAAATACACACTAACATACAATAAATCATTTACCACAGTGAAATGACATAAAGCAACACTGTGCCATGCTGCTATTGTCCTCTTCTGTCCACCTGTGACACAGAATGCGACTAGTGTATAATAAACATAAAGGGATATCGTTGGACGGGGCCTGATGCTGCAGGTCGTTTGTGGTTTGGGTGTCGTGAATGCTAAACTATGTTTCTTCAACCACTACACATTTTGAAATAGATTAACACCCAACTTTGTTGTATTGGTCTACCTGTTTGTTACTTTCTTAACCCTGTTAGGTACCAGTCTACATTACTGGGTTATGTGGAAAATTACTGCAAATTCTTTTCTGCCCAGCACTAGAACACATTTCAGCCAACTAGGAGGACATTTTACTATTATTTTTGTTGGTAGGTAAATTCAACCAAGCATTATTAGTTAGAACGAAACACCAATATTTATCGAGAGACAAGGGGACCTACCGTTTTACCACGGAGCAGCGAATCATTAAACTAATGTTCTAATATTCTGAATTGAGTCTGGCGCCTTTCTTTTTGCTTTATAAGGCAAACACTAGCTAAGAGTTAATGTTAACTCCCGATGAAGGCCGCTAACGTGCCCAATGGACTCTGCACCGAATGAATGCAAATAAGATTAGTTATCAGCAAAACAGTGGCTTGGTAATGGCCTCGAAGGCTGCTTTATCAAGGCAACATTTTCACGATTTAGCCAATGATCAGTGTCCGCACAGAAAAATATCTAAACACAAAATGTCCCCAGAACTTTGTATGATTTTTATTACAATAATAAACGACCCGGAAGACATTTTACGCAACACAGCAATTTGGCGACAGAATTAACTACAAATCCGTAGCTTCTCTTTATTCTGTCTTATTTCAGAACCTCTGCTTGTTTAATGAACTTACAGTAAAATACCCCATCCCGAGTGTCACGGCGACAATCCAAAACAGGCTGGTTCTTTTAAAATAACGGCATCCATCATTTTTACACATAGCTGATGCGTCTGTGCGCTGGTCCCGCAGTCAAATATATCCGTGTAGTAACAGCGGTGAGGGGAAAACTGATGGGACCGTTCGTAGAGATTAGATCAATAGAAAAGTAACATTATTGATTTCAAAACTATAATATTAACTTTAACTTATTATTGTGATGTTGTATATGAGTTTTATTATATATTAAAATGCTGAAAACTATAAGGCAAGGCAGCTTTATTTATATAACACATTTCATAGGCAACACAAAGTTCTTTACATAAGCAAAGAAAAACAGTAACAGCATTAAAAATAATAAGAGCTTGTACACTGATAATACACTGTTTAATGACATAATTACACTTCAATGCTGCCCGCATGTGGTTATTTGATGGGCTTTTATCATGTACAGTAGCTATGTTAATGTGAGGGATCTTGTATGAAGATAAAAGAATATAGCAGATACATTACTGTACTGTAGTAAGGAGCCTAATGCAATGGGTACCAAAGGTTATTTTAGAAACCTATTACCAGTTTAAACAATTTCAAACTGAAGAGAGAGAACAACTGCTTTTCTTTGTTTTATGTTTTCTGAAACATTCCTTCCTCCTTGGTCTCATCACAGTAGACACTTTGCCTAAATTATCTTCAGATTTGTTAGCTGTATGTATTTGTGGTGTATTTTTGTCCATCAATGACATTTAGTTTCATACAATAATTTGTACAATGATAGAACTACCTCTCACCTTCTAATTTTGGATTAGTTCAAATGCAGGTTTCTCCAACAAATTCAACTGCAATATACTGGTAATCAAACAACAGAACTATTTCCAATCTGTGATGTCTAAGTTGTTTTGTGACAGCTATACACTGGCAGCACCACTCTCTTCCTGTTTGGAAGATTATACTATTTAATTTACATGAAGAGATAAGATGATCAAATTTTGTTTTTCTAATATGCAGTGATCTCTGTAGCGTCAACACTAAACTAAGCAAAGCTCTTTATAGTGATTTTGCATTAGCTGAATAGACTTGGTTGAACCAATGTTTAGTTATCTTTGATCACTGTATGTAAACTTGGGCATGTCAAACATTTAATCTACTGAAATGGTTTATTGATAAGACTTTCAAATTTTATTCTTTGATCAACTACTTTTAGGTAATGAAACATATGGTGCAATATCCAAAATGTATTGAGATCTTTAATTCACATTAGTGAATATGACAGCGCCACCATTTGCAAAGGCCTGCACATGCTGTCTGACAGTGCACATGCTGTCTGATAGGATTTGGATAAAACATATGGAGAGCTGGTGGGAGTTTCAGGAGCCGTCTGAGGTTGATTGTGTAGGTTGTCCAGATAAAGATGAGATTAGACAAGATGATAAAGAAATGTCTGAGTTTGTTTTGTTGCATTAGATATCTATGGTAGACTTCAAGCTGCATTGTTTAGTAATACACCTACAAATACTGTAAATCTCTTTCTGCACTTTGCCCTGTTATTCTATCTGACCTTTGACTCAGTATGTTAGCCTTTACATTTTCAGTGCATTTGACATACAGCTGATGCTCAGAAATTATTACATGCAGTCAACAGGAAAGAGGTCAAAGATAAAAACTACATTGTGAATAATATGCAAAGTGCAAATTTATATAATAATGATTTTATTTAAGGTATCAGCTGTTTTCTGGCAGCATGTCCAAGCACAGACAACATGAGGTTAAAGGTCACAACATGAGCATACAGCCAGCCATGGCCTGGACATGTTAAACCATTTGACAAACCTGCAGCACACTTTGATGCATCTGTTCATTGCAGAGAGGCTGCTGTGTGGAATGGGCAACTGTCCAATTAATCAGTGAATAATTACCCATCTTTTTTTTCTTCTTGTGATAGCAGAGAGCTACTCTGCATATGAATAAAACAGGAGCCGCTGATAGACTTCAGCTATTCTGTATTATGCTAAGTTCTGTGAGTTAACCATTTCTTTAAGACTATTGTTGGTTGATTGACAGTCAACAGTTTGCAAAGCTGCCTATGTTTACACTTAACACTAATCAAATGTCTCCCAGTAACCAAATCTGAATTAGGCTAAAGGATGATAGGATAAAATATTTAAAACATTGTGTTTAAATAACATCTCTACCCTGAAAAAAAATTATATGCACAGTAACAATATATATAAATGCCAAAAAATTTTTTTAAAAAAATCCCAAAACACACACACACACACACACATATATATATATATATATATTCACATGTATGTATGTCTCTAGTTAAGTGGTATCGATGAGGCAAACAATCACAGAAAGAGTTTCTAGTTTCTATTGTCTCTCCCAGGATGTCACACAGTATGTGCCACTGACCTTGCCACCACTTTATAGGGATTAAGTGATAACAGAGGGTGAAAGGGCCACTCTGGTCAGAATACTTGTCTTAACCACCCTTCCTCTAAGTAAAACACCATCCCATCGCCTTCTGAGGCCTCAGGTGATCAATATAAAAAGGTACCCTGGTCCAACCAGGAGACACATTCAGTGAAGGAGGTTCATGGGGAAGGAACACACTGCCATACTGAAGTGTCCCATTAGAGGTCCATTTGAACCAAGTTTATGCCTGGAGCTTCATTTATTTAACTGCTGCCATGTGGAAGGAATCTAACAATGGTAAGGATTAAAAGAAACAAACAAAAAAGGGATTTTGCTAGCTGAGATAGCCAAATCGTTCTTTGGTTTTACAGTATGCCTCTTTCATTCATAATTTATAGCAATGTCTTTTTGTGTGTGTGTGTGGTTTTTTTTTTTGTATGATCTAGCACAGAATGAAATTACCTGCCATGTGTATTGGGTGGATGGGTATCATTGGTTTCATTACACCAGCATGACTTAGACAGGTAGTACCAGGCTGTGAGCCCATCCCCTGTTAGGTTGTCCACACATGCTAGTACTCACTGTGTGTACTAGAAGGCAAAATATAAGCATTTCTCAAGAATTTGTAAATACTAGAACAAGGTTTTTGTATAATCAGTGATAAACAGCAGTAGAAACAACAGATAACCAGAAATGATGTTTTCATCATCATCATCATTATTATTATTATTACTATTAGTGCAGGATAGAATATGGCACCAGTGTAGAAGGACATTCTGCAGTCATGAGAATTTATTCTTCATTGACTGGATGACAGCTTTATGTTTTTACCTCATTCACAGTCTTGAATTTTACTGTATACACTAGTTTAAATAGTACAGCATCAAAATCCTGCAAAGATGAAAGACAGTGCAGTTAATTAAATATATTCCTTACATATTCATTATTCAGTATGTTTGCATTGAATTACTGAGGTCCACAGTTACAGCTGTAACTGTAACTTAAGCAGAATTGATTAAAAAAGAAAAAAGAGGGAAAGAATATTTATAATGAAACCTATCTGTTGTAAAGTCTGCTCTCTCCTCTTCCCTCAGATGATGCCAAACCTGTAGCGTCCAGTGGTGGCTCTTCTCGTAGCACTAGCCGCAGGAAGAGGACCAGCTTCTCCAAAGAACATGTGGAGCTCCTTCGTGCCACCTTCGAGACTGACCCATACCCTGGCATCAGCCTCAGAGAGAGCCTGTCCCAGACGACAGGCTTGCCAGAGTCACGCATCCAGGTACACAGTCTCCTCATGCTACTTCGTACAGCAGAAAGCTTGTGAAATAGATATGAAGATGAAATAAATGAAATTGAGCATTTTAGAGTCATTGAACTTGTCAGTTCAGTTTAGAGAAGTTTTGGAGTTATCCTTTTTTTGGATACTGGTGTTGTGCAAACATGGATGTGGTCCATACAAGCACATATACTAAATACACAGAGAGATGTAGTGTATGGTTGTGTTGTAAGATGTTTTGCATTGTGTTTTGTTATCATCAAAAGGCTGTTTTTAAATGCATCCTGCATAGACCTGTAGATGCCACTGTCCCTCTATCACCTTATTTCTTTATTTTTAAAGATGACACAGGCTGTTTTTATCAGGAGCTTGTTTGAGCTGACAGATAGACTACACAACAGGCTCTGACAGCTGACTACTAGATTTGTGCTCCCCCTACTCAACTGGTGCCTGTTTAACAGAAAATGATTAACAGAACAGAATTTGTTCTTTTTTCTCCTTCCTGTCCAGGTGTGGTTTCAGAACAGAAGAGCTCGCACTCTGAAGTGCAAAGGAGCCAATAAAACACTGTGGCAGTCTGAGAGCCCAGTCACTTCACCTCATGCTGGAGCCAACAGGGGTCTACAGGATGGTACTATCCCTGTCCTGCCCCAGGGTCCCTCACCATCCCACCCAGCCCAGGTGAAGGAGGAGATGGAGGAGGTCTGTTATTATGGACAGTGTCCTCCAGCTTACTCCACCACTGAGGAGCATGGACCATACAGCTTCATTTATGGGTGCCAGCAGGGGAGACCACTAGGCAGCAGCTCTAGCCCACCCCCAAGGGGCTACTGGTGCCAGCCAGGCAGCCAAAGCACTCCTGTACCACCGCTGTGGTGCCGGTCTCCCTTGGATACAAGACCCTACAGCTTGGGCTCCAACCAGGCAGCAGCCTTCATATATCCAGGATCAGCAGAGCAGATGTACATGGCCTCCTCAGCCTCCCACTCCTCCACCCCAGACACCCCTGATTCTGGATACTGGGACATCAATCTGGAGAACAGCCCACCACAACAAGGCCAGTACTCACAGCTGGATGATTCATGGAGTGGGGCTGCTCTGGCAGGCTGCAGGAAGTCCAGACATCCGGGGGTGGTCCAGTACGTGCCCCTACCTGAGCTGTCCCTGCAGGAGGTCCTGGGTGAGCTGGATGAGGACTGGCTGGGAGGAGAAGGACTGGGCAACCATGCCACTGAGGAGAAAATGGCTTTCTGCTGATGACTGTATTATTAGGATTTACAATGGACAATTATAAGTCAAATGTATTACCTTGATTTTAGTGATTTGAGTGTTGCTTCTGAGATGCATACTGGACAAAATCTAAAGAGTCATCCAAAAAATAGGATGCATATTTTCAAAGTCTTACAATCCTACATGATTTTTATTTATTCCATATTTACTTTGTTGTTTGGTTAATGCATTTATTCATCTATTTATACCTTATTTATAATTTTCTGCACTTTTATACAAAATAAATCACTAGTAATTGAGCATATCAGTTTTCTTTGTTTTTTTTAAAATCTTTTTTAATCACTTTTTTCACTACAGAAGTAGATGGTGATAAAATGTTGATTAAAATAATGATTTGGAATCTTTTTGTCCACAGGAGAGAGAGAGAGCTCTGACACACACACACATACTACATATATATGTATATAGTTAGTATGGTGGAAAACAGATAGCATGTAACAGGTGCCGTGGGGCTCAAACATTTAGCTGAAAATGACCTACTGAAAATCGTCCCAGCTCTACCTGTCTAGTTCCTCTCCTACACTTCTTACAAAGCAGCTGTGAAGCAAATACTGTGACATCATCAGGTCATTGTATGGATGCTGACAAGCATCCATACTATGTTATCCTGGTCTTTATTATTATTGCATAGATGCTGATTCAGCATCCATACTATGTTATCCTAGTCTTTATTATTGTATGGATGCTGATTCAGCATCCATACTATGTTATCCTGGGGCCCGTTTCAAGAAGGAGGTTTTGTTGAAACTCTGAGTTTGTTAACCCCGAAATGAGGAAAACTCGGAGTTTTCGGTTCCCTCCATTAAAGCCATTAAAGAGGAGTTTCACAGGATTGCAGGTTAGTGGTATTGAATTCGTTTCAGTAAGGCTAATCTGAAAAATGATGATCAGTTAATAACATCTTGCTGTGACCTCTGGAAATAAACTAATAATTAGAATCCCCTTCAGGATTTCCAAATGTGGTTGGATGCATTGATGGCACACATATTCCCATCAATGCACCTACATGAAAATTAAAATTCAATTCTTATATTATTACATCAGTGTTGGGTTCTTAAAAAAGTATTTTGATTGATGTAATAATTACTCTCCATAAAATGTATTGGATTATTTATTATTCATTGCTTTACAAATCCCATATCAACCACAATAGGAATTTTAAGAAAGGGTAGAC